AACATTCAGTCTGGTTTTTGGATTGGCTTTCTTTGCTTACTTAGCATGATATCCTCCAACTCCATCCATTACCTGCAAATGTCATAATTTTATTCTTTTTGTAATTTTATTCTTTATGTATTTTGAAGATTCTGTTATTATGTTCATACACATTTGTAATTGCTATATCTTTCAGATGAATAGCCCCCTTTGTCCTTAGGACTTGTTCCCTTCTATCTCTAGTAGTATTTTTTTTTTGTCTTTATTAATCTGCTAATATAGCCTTTCCAACCTTCTTGGGCTTACTGATTTTTCAAAATGCCTCTTTGGTGGTTAGGTATTCAACATGAGTTTTGGGAGTTTTGGTAACACAAACATTCAGTCTATAGCAATGCTCCTGTGATTCATATTTGAAATGAATTTCTGTAGACAACATATAGTTAGGTCATGTTTTTAGAATTTGTCTTCTAATTAGTGGGTTTACAGCATTTACATTTAATGCAATTATGGAAAAATTGAGACTTAAGTCTTTTATTGTATTTTTGTTTTCTTCTAGTGCCCTGTTTCGTTTATTTTCTGGTTTTTTTTCTTTTATTTTTCTGTCTTCTTCAGGGTTGCTTACTCATTTTTAAAAATTCACTGTATATCTTTTTTATTCCATATACTTTCAAACCTATTTGGGTCTTCTTATTTAAAGTACATCTTTTATAGAGAATATATAGTTAGGTCTTGCTTCTCATCCACTCTGATAGTCTTTACCTTTTTAATGATATATTTTGATCACTAACATTTAATGTAATTATTGATATACTTGGGTTTAGAACTATCATTTCATCATTTTATCATCTATCTCCTCCAGGTTTTTGTTCTTCTGTTTCCTTTTTTTGACCTTATTGCGCTTTTTGTGTGTGTGTGTGTGTGTGTGTGTGTGTTTGGGGGGGTACTGGGGGTTGAAGCCAAGGACACTTTACCACTGAACTACATCCCAGATATCTTTTAAATGAAAATTTTATTTTGAGAAGGGGCTTCACTGAGTTGCTGAGGCTAACCTCAAAATTGAGATCCTTCTTCCTCTACTTCCCAAGTTGCTGGGATTACAGGTATGTGGCACTGCACCAGGCCTGCACCTTACTGCTTTTTAAACAATTTTCTTAATATTTCATTTTAATGTATCTGCTGAACTTTTAGTTATACCTCTTTTTCTTATTATTTTAGTGGTTATTCTAGATTTTACAATATATACCCCTAAGCAAAGCTGCCTTTTTGGTACAATGCATCAAAAGCTGTCTTAGAGACCTGTGCAGTAGATGTCTATTTATATATCATTGGCTACACTGGATCTCTTCATTACCCTATACTGGAATTGGAGGGGGAATCCAACTGCATTGAAATAGAAGGATCTCTTTCTGTTATTGAACTAATTGGTATTTGCATGCAAAAAAAAAGGAGACTGAAAACTGGATAAATATCAATCATTGTCTACGGAAGTTAAGTCATTTCTCCTTCCTTTTGGTACTAGGGATTGAAGCCTGTGGTGCTCTACCACTGAGCAACATACCCAGCATTTTTTGTTTTTTTGTTTTGAGATAGGACCTCACTAAACTGCTGAGCCTGGCCTTGGATCCTCTGCCTCAGCCTCCTTAGTTGCTGGGATTACAGGTGTATGCTACTACTCCCAGCCCACAGTAATTAATCTTATCTAAAGCATTTAGTCAGCCACATTTTTTAACCTCAGCACATTTTAACATCATTCTTTATTTTTGTTAATTCATTTTAATAATTTATTTCATTGACTAAGGAACATTTCTCCCCTTAAAAGAATTACACAAAGTCCTTTACTGTGTGTTGCTCCTATGCTTCTTATTTCCATTTTGTTGCTTATTTAGGCTAGGGGTGTCCTTTAGAATAACTGTGAGTTGGTGTAAAACTAGGGCATAGTAGTAATAGTTAATATCTATTAGTGATTAAATAATAAGTGAATATATAAAATAGCCATTTTGTGACTACAAAAATGAAATTTTGTAAAGAATCAGCTCAAACTTATTCTAGCAGATCAGATTTTTGTTAGTGAGATTATTTTGCCATAAAGGAGACAACCATAATTAAAACAACAACAACAAAAGAAAAAGCCTTAATTTGTGCCATTGGGCTGTTTCCTTTATCATTTTTAAAAGAAGATAAATGTTATAAACAATGTCACTTGTAATTTTGTTTTTGAAAGTCTAAATGATATTTTGAGTAATTTTGACTTAATATATTTCAGTAGAATATGAATATTCTTGGGAAAATATCCTTCTTGAGCAGAAAAAGATTTGGTATTTGCAAAGTTTAATTAAATATAAGATGTTTGGTTTGTGAAAACCAGGCCTATCATCTTGAAAGTAAATTTCCTACTTTCTTCTCTAACAAGGACTTATAGCTCTTTATTACTGATGATTGAATTATAAATTCTCTAGGGAAGATACTGTATTTTCTGTCTCATTAGCAGCTTATATGTGCAGACTTGTATGTTAATTCTTATGATGATTTATACTTGCATAAGTGTATATGCACATCTTATCTTATTGAATTTCCTTAACCTTCCAGGAAGATAGTAAGGGGAAATGGCCCCATTTTATGCATGAGGAAGCTAAGATTTGGTACAATAAACAAAATTATCTCAGTTCTCAAGATTTGTGCTTGTTAGGTTTGAGGCTGGGACCTAATCCTCAACTCAATGCTCTTCCGTCAGGTTCCCCCAGGCTGCACAACCCCCTGGATTGGGCCAGGTATAACCTGCATGGAGACTTTCCTGCCACATAAGTTTCCCTAAGGGGCAGCATGGGAAGTTTGGGTGTCAAAATTATTTGTAGTGCAGGACCGTCTCATTCAGCATCCCCAGATCTCACCCACTAAGTACCAGAAGTACTCCTATTATGTGACATCCAGAAATGGCCCCCATGGTCAGCTGCCCCTGGAGGCAGTGCTGCTATCAGTATTCTCCACCATGATGCCTCTGGGTCATAAATGGCTGATTTTCAACCACAATGACTAAAACAGCATTTTGAACATTTTTAACAAAACACAACCTTTCTGCATGCAAGGCTGCTCTGGGACTCTTGAGGAAACCTATAGTGGGGAGGAAAGAGTATTGGAATTCCCCCAAGCAGTAGAAGTGCCAAAAGCTTAGAAAAGCAGCTACAGTTGGGTAGAAGAATCCCCTCAAAACCATGAGCAGTAACAGTGCTCACATGGAGCCCTTATTCTGTACCAGGCACTGTATCAAGTCACTGACACATAACATAGCATTTAATTCTCAGGACAGCACTTTGCAGTTTTTGCTCCCACGACCCTCACAGATGAGCAAACTACCATCATGCCTTGCGCTGGCCCTTAGCATAACTTGGAAACAGAAAGGAGCGCTGGTCCCTCTGCTTCCATGCATTTCAACTCTCACATCCACTCTCCACAAAATCAACCGGACCTGTTTTTATAAAATGAAATCAGATCACATCATGCCTCTGCTAAAATTCTTCAATTGCTTCATGTCGCTGAGTAAATTTCCAAGTCCCACAGTGGCCCATAAGGCACATATGCCCTGGCTCCATGAGCCTCCCTGACCTGGCCTTCTTCCACCCTGCCTCACACCCACTTCACACCGGCCACGGTTCCTTGACCATTCTCAGCACAAGCCAAGCTTGTTCCCACCTTGATGTCTGCGATCACTGTCCCTCCCCCAAATATGACTCACTCCTTTACCTCCTTTAGTCTTTGATCCAACCTGATCACTTGGAGAGTTTTTCTTGCCCCAAACACCTTCCTTCTATACCCCCTGCCCTTTGCCCTACTTTTTTGGGGGGTGGGTGCCACCTGACACTATGGTGAATGCTTCTTTTCCCTACATTCATGGTTTCTACTTCCAAAAGAACGTGTTTTCAATGGTATCTTGACCCCCCATGCCTTAGAAAACTGCTTGGCACATAGTAGTTCAATGAACATTCATTGAAGATGTGTGACTTAGAGAAATGAAGTCATTTGCCCTCTATTCAAAGCTAATAAGGGGTGGATTTATACTCTGTACTCCCAACCAGCCCCTGGCTCCTTAGGAAGAGAAACAAACAAAAAAAAAAAACAGATGACAGAAAGACATAGGATTGGAGAAGGGAATGATGGGAAAGCCTTCTCTCTGCTAGAAAGATGCTCAGTGGAACTTCTATTTTGTATTGTTTTTTTTTTTTCAATACATGCAGTAACCAAAGAGAATTGTATAAAAGGTGAAACTAGCAGACACTTCAGCAAGATGAGAATCTGTAGGTAATTTGGATCCAAAATCCACTTGTGTTTCCAGGGTTTACAGTTGCTAGTTGTCATATGAAAGCACTTCATGAACTTGGTGTGCCCTGTTCTCTCAGAACAGCTCTATAGTGGACTAACTCAAGGTTAAGCCAGAATTGCAGTCTGTCCAATAAAATTTGCTTTGTTCTTTTGTTTTAGAGTCTGATTAGATGTTTCATTTTTCCTTTTCCAGTTTTTGGCTTTGTATTTTTTATCTCTTTCTCCTTCTGTACCATAACTCCTAAGGAGCCTAGCTTGCTGTATGTTGAATACTTAAACATTATTTTTTAAAGTAATTTTGCAATTTTAAAAAATGGCTTATCTTTTTGGCTAGGCGGAAGCAAGGGAAATCGACAGAATAGATCCTCAAGTGATATGGACACAGTTTCTTGCTGGAATTTGCAAAGTCGATTTAAATCCGATCTTAGTTTTCAGAAGATTGTTTTTAAAATATAGAAATTCAAGAAGACAGCCTTTGGGAATGCAAATTTTGAAGAACTTGGAATCTTTTCATTCAAATACATTAACCACAGAGATCATCTAGCTGGATCTCAGTGTGAACAACATAAGGAGATCATCATAATAAAACAGCTTCCCCACCTTGCTGGTGTTTGGTGCTGTCTTTGCTCTACATCAGTTTTTGCATGTTATTGGTTATAAAAATAGCAGGGTATATAAGAGATCTAAAGGTTAGAAAATTCAATTATGTCAACTAGCTAAGAAGCAATGAATGTCACATTGAAATTTTTGCTAAAAGTGAAGTGTGATGATTTACAGTATGAAAATGATGCTTCAAAAAATTTTCAAGGTTCTTTGTCTCACTGTTGGGGGCAAAATAAGGTTTATATGACCAAAAAAAAAAAATTAAAAATGCCTGAAAGTCACATAGTGATTGACACAAAAATTCAAAGCATCTCACAGGCGGGGATAAAGGTGTTAGGATGACTTTTGACCTGAGGTAGCCTGCAGGCCGGTGGAATTCAGGGGTCTGAGGCTCCCATAGGGATGACCCAGCAGTTTCGGCACGTGGTCCTTTTCCCATGACATTGTGTGTAGCTTTCAGATTTCTGTAATTTTTGCAAAATCTCTGGAGAGTTTTCTGTAGGACAGCAATACATGTAAGTACCTAAAACAGAACCAAATCTGAACAGAGCCTGATCTGTTTGAAAGGTTACATTTTGCTGAAGACTACTGACCTTGATTTCTACAAGCTTTAAACTGTGTGATTAGGGAGGTGGGAGATGGTGGTGGGAGGTGAGGGAAGGGAAGAATCACGTAGCATGCCCCCTCCCCCGCCATGGATTTACCTCTGGCATTTATTTAAAAAGGAGTAGGGCTTTTTCAGTGCTGTCTTTACTCTAAATCTGATGCAGGCAGGTGGGGAGCCTAAGGTGGCTAAGGATTGACTTTCTCCGTCAGGGCTGGGAGTGTCTGTACTCTGTCCTTCACTCTGCAGACTAGGCTGATCCTGAAAGTGAATTAGGAAGTGAGTTTCAAAGCCTCTCCATCTTGGACCTCTGGGAACACATCTAGGAGGGTAGGCCTGGGGTTAAGGTTGTGAACAAATCTCATAAATGTGACGTGTGGAGTGGAGGCATAAGATTTAGCTTCCCTGAGGACTGGGCACCAAGGTATGGATGAAGGCAGGTCATGCTGTGAACTCCCGGAGTCTTTACAAGGGACTGCAGTTCAGAGGGTGAAGGGAGGAAGGAGGGAGGAGGTTGCTGGGTCCCCTTTCCACCTCATGTGACACTGAAATGCTCACATTCAATCCCTTCTGCTGTCCCCCTCCCCCATTCAAACATATCACTGCTCACCCATGCCTAATGCTCCCCAGTTTCCTGTTTGTTGGTAATAGGACTTTTCTCCTTTGGAATCACTAATGATAATTTTTTTATATTCCAAAAATGATGATAAAAGTAACACAATGATTATTGTTAATCCCTTTCCTCCCTTACTGATTAAACATTAATAGTGACTTCAATGAGGAAACTCATTAATAAGACACACCCACAAGCATCTTTCCAAGGCCTCATCTGAATGTTCCAACAGCAAATAAATACCTTGGTGATAGCAGGAGAACCACTCCATAATGCAGACACCCTGTGGGTGGAAGACAAGCGATGGGTAGCATTTGGGAAGCCAATAATGATCTTGTTTTTTTTTTATTTTAATATTCCAATCACTGGATGAAGTAGGTGCTCAAGAAATGTTGAACAAATGACTGTGCATTCCATTCCCTCCCTGTTAGCACTTACTTTCTTCCCCAAATTTGCCCTCCCCCAAACACTGTCCCTAATAAATAATCCAGCTGCAATTACTTTCAGCCACGTTCTATCAGAAGAATTTGAGTATGTGGGACTACTTAAAAATATCTTGACTCATGCTGTCAAATAAAGCCCACGTATTATTGAATATGATGCATACATTAAAAGAATGAGGTAATGACTGTCTGAAGGACCTAACTTTGTGGGTAGCAATATTCTGATTAGTAAAAAGGAACTTCTCGGAAACACCAGCTTTTGCCCACTCACACACACAACTTCCCTCCTTCTGACATTTGGAAAAAATAACTTTCTCTGTCTTTGAACTCAAAACACTGATTATCATAGTTGTGTGGGAATTTAGAAACCATATAATCCAATTCTCTCATTTAATAAATAAGGATATTAAGATTGGAGTAGCTTAATAATTAACTCAAGATCTCACTTCTAGTTAGAATTACTAGAGCCAAAGGACAATGACCAGTATCTCAGACTGGTGACACTTCTCCCACAGGGTACTGAGTATTTTTGAGGGATATCAGGGATGAATATTCACCAGATCTATGGAAGCAACCTATTATGGTTATTAGGAGTAGGCACAAATAAAAGAGAATGAATGAAATAGAACTATTTATATATAATAACTTGGAAACACCTCCAGAGACTATTGAATGAAGAAAGCAGCTGCAAAACAGTGCACAGGGTAGGAATCCATTTATGTGAATAAAAATGGGGAGAGCAGATTTTCTCCAGACGAGGTATGGAAGGTTGGATTCCTCCCAGAAAAGAGTGCCAGGGACCTAAGAGTGGGGATGATGGCCAAAGGAAAGTTTGCCCTCATCTGCATTGTTTGAATATTTGCAAGGAGAATCCATGTATTAATTGTTTAAGAATTAATTTCAAAGAGCAAAATATTATATATTTTATTTCACTCCATGTTACTCCAATCAATGTTCTTACCTCTGTGGATCATACTTAGTCTTTTGTCTTTTTTTTTTTTAATTTAAATTTTTGTATTTGTAGCCTTTTGTCTTCATTTAGTAGAATGTCTTGACTCATCTCATGGAGCCCTAGGGGTCATGGTCAGACATAAATGGAAAGGAGAGGGAGAGAGTGTTTGGGGCTTATTTTTTCAAAAACTGTTTATTGCCCTCTCCTTCGCATTGATTGCCATTTTATACATTGAACATAATAGTAATGAAAATGATAATACTTGAATGTGTAAATATTATTACTAAAAGTGTCAACAACTAAGCTCTTCTGAGCACTACTTCTACCCAGAGGGGCTCCTAAGTGCCTTCATGCATATCCTTCTCATCTAATCTCATGAGCACTCAGTGAGGTGAGTACTGTTATTATCCCCATGGAAGAGATGAAAAACTGAGAGTCCTCATAAAACCAAGAAACCTTGTGGCCTTGTGACTGGCAGGTGGAGGACCCTGGATTTGAACCGAGGCAGTTTGACTGCAGAGTCTGTGCCTGGGCTTGGGGATGGGTAATTCTTATTGAAACACTGACCAGCAGTGTCTGTTGGAGGAAAGTACAGGTTGGAAAACAGGATTTGGTCCAAACCAGAAATCTCAGGACTTCTGAGAATCTTTTTATCCGAGCACCTTCCCATTTGCTTCTTCCCTGGGCTCCTCTGAGCCTTTTCACTTAAGATTTCAATTGCCCTAGGTTACTAAGTCAAGCACATAATTCTATCAGGCAATGTGTAGCGAAGGGGAAAATATTCTCCTCTGGAGAGTGAAACCCCATCTACTGTCATGACAAGCCTAGCAACAATTTCTCAGTTACCAGTTTATTTTATTTAAAACAAGCACAGTAAATCAAAACAGCAAATGTCTTTTAAATGGGATAAGGGTTGGTCTGCCTGGAGCCAGTGAATAATTCCTTTTCTAATATTTGATTTGGATGTCTGTGTTATTCCTTAAAGGTATTGAAAGAATAAAGCGGCAAATTTTGAAATTATTTTTATAGCTTATATAGGCAGGTAGTTTTCAAGAAACTGATCATCTTATGCTAAATAACACCTTTCTCCCTGATTCCCACCTCTGTCCAAATTTCAGGAATTTATTTTACTATTCCTCTTTTCATGACCAAAGCATCTCTGATTCATCACTGAAAGTTTGAGTAAGAAGACAGAAACTGTTAAGTATATACATGTATGCTTAGGTATTTATGTATATTATACATGTATATTTATTTATATATTCATTTCTGTAAGTTTATCTGTTGATAAAAGAAAAATTCTGAGATATCCTAATTTTAATCACAAGGGCTGGAGAAGGGAAGAGAGAAGGCATAAGGGAAGTTAACCAGTTAACAGCTATGGGGCAAACCACCAAAGTATAGTTCCATATTCCCAAATGTAGTTTGCACCCTTGACTTATATCTCCAGGCATCATCCACCAGGCTCCCCTGGTCAGGCTTATCAATGGACCTTCTGATCTCTTAACCCCAAACAGTCTTTAAGAAAGAAACACGTCTCCTTAAGAACTGTCCCTTTCTTCTCATTATCCCAACCCTCTTATCTATAGCCAAAGTAGTCTCGATATAGACAATTTATACTTTCCTCCTCCACATATTCATTATGGAAACATTGCTGGTTCTTAGGTCAGGCAGACATATTCCTAACCACTATCCAGCCCTGCTGCTGACTGCTGCAGCACTTGTTCCAGAATCAAGTCCTTTTCTTGCTAGCATCTGTAAACAGCTCAATAAATCCTTTTGTTTCAGAGAACTCTCCATCTTAAGAGTTTAGTTAAATTATCTATCTATCTATCTATCTATCTATCTATCTATACATATATACATATATACACACACATATATATATCTTTAATTGGGAAATTTTGCATAATTTGGGAGCCATTTGATAAAGTGTATCTATATGTATATCTATCTATATATATGTGTGTATATACATACATATATATATGTATATACACATATATATACATGTGTATGTGTATGTAGACACACACAGTCATGCATTGCTTATGAGGGGGACATGTTCTAAGATATGCTTGGTTAGGTAACCTGTCTGTCATTGTGGAAACAGCATACAGTATCCTTATACAACTAAGGTTGCTATGACATTACTAGGCAATAAGAGTTTTTCAGCTGCAGTAAAATCTTATGGAGCTGCCATTGTACACATGGTCCATGGTTGACTGAAATGTTCAGTAAACGTGTATATGATGTGCACACACATATATGTGTGTTTGCATTTTGCTCTAATTGGAAAAAATTTTTTTTGCTTTAACTTGGGAGCTATTTGATGAGCTGTTCTACAATGCTTCTCCTGCCCCCCAGACAATCACATTTTTGCCTAGTGTGCTGAACTGATTTTTTTTTCACTCCTGCTGACTCCTGCCTAGAGAAACCACCAGTAGTTTCAAAATTGCACTAATATTTCCAAATATCTTGTTAATATTTTCCTTTTTGAGAGAACAACTCTGCTTTCTCCTTTTTTCTACCATGTGGTGTAGCACATGTGTGCATCAAAGATGAAGCTGAAATGTGTCTCTCTCTTTTTTTTCTTAGCTCCTCTATTTCTACACTTGCAAATATAGTAAGTGGGTCTCTTTCCCTGAGTGCCTGCTCGGTGCTCACTCTGTGCCTGGGCCCCAAGATAGGAGGGTGATTTAGCAGATGTGAGCCCCACCATCATGGAGTTTCTGGCACACCCTGCCAGCCTGCAGGACTCTCGGCTCTGCTGAGCTCCCTGGTTACCAGGACTACAGCACTTCCACATGGATGAGGAGTTTTGACAAATGTGTGGTACCCATTCCTGCAAACAAAGCCATTTATTTTAGGCTGAAGCATTTGCAGGAAAATTTAAATAATTTATCTAGAATGTGTCAAATTGAATGCTTTCATTAAATCTTCTTGGATTTCTTCTTTGGAACATTTATAAACTGAAAGCCTTATTATCTTAAGTTTCTCAACTTACTCTCTGCCTTTGACTGCAAACAAGATGTATGGACTAAACATTCTAAGCCTGAGAGAAATGTCTTAGGTCATCACTGAAGTGAGTAAGGGCCCCAAGTGTCCTTTACTCAATACTGAATGTTTGGGACAAAGAAGAGGTTTTTTTTTGTTGTTGTTGTTTTTGTTTTTTTTGTTTTTTTTTTTTGAGCCACAGCCACTGCTAAATGGTGCCCATTATATTATGAGTCAAGGACCTGGAGAAATCCCCAAACCCATTCTTTTCCAAAATAACGTATTTCATGAAAATACGTGTTCCTGAAAATCCCAATAAAAAAAAAATAGAATCCTCTTGGAAGGAAGGCCAATCGATCCAGGAGGACCAGCCCCAAACTTGTGCTTGCATTGGCTTTTAGTAGGATTCCTCTGTTTGGGGACTGGCCAGCACAGGTGACCTAGGGATGAGACAATGCCCTTGATAGTCAGAACTTCAGAGGGGGAAGGAAGGAAAGGGAGAAGTGCTGGGCAGCCTTCTCCTGGAAAGTTCTGGAAAGTCAAGGCCTAAGGGAACTCTCTCTAAACATGGAGGGGACATGTTATCTACTTTATTCTGCAGAGGGTCAGCTCCTGTTTACCTCTAAGCAATTTATGACATATTTCAAAGTACAAATACAACTTTTTCCCTTAAGAGTCTTGATGAATGTTTCTGCATGTGACCAGGGTTTAATGTGGCAAGGATATTTTGAAGGTGTCTCATCCTCATTGGGGCCCTCAGGACTGGCTGCACTTCATGTCCCCTTCTCCCAGTGCACTGACCTACCATCCCAGAAGGGCCCCTGCCAGAGCATATTGTGCTGGGCGGTCACGGGTGGCAGAAACTGCTGGCCTCTCTTTCGATAACCCACAGGACACATTTGCACCTCCAGCACTTTCCGCACAAAGCGGTGCGTATAGCAACCCCCATGTGTGGTTCAGAAGCCGTTGGCTACGCTGCTTTATAATTCATCTTTCTCTTCGGCTTCTGGAGAGTCCAGTGAGAGACCAAGACCCTCCTGCTGTCTGTTCGGTGAGCAAACTATTACAGTTTTGGAAATTCTTCATTTTCACTCTTTTTAGAAGTAAAATAGTCATTAACAGAAATAAATCTTGGCTTCACCAGGATATATGTTAGTGAAAATTCAAGGAAGATTTTAGTTATCACTTGAATTAGTTATAAGCATAATAAATTTACCCTGCTGAAAAATTAAAGTTGGAAAAATAACATATTAATGGAGGACAAATTACTTACACCAGTGTTCTCGGGTTGAATGGCAACAGACAATTTAGTCAAAACATATCTTTACCCTTTTTGTGTGTCTGATTAATCTGCTGAATCTCTGATTATAGCGAGCTGAATGTTTCCCCCAAAATAATTGGTTTCGAGAATTGATAATAGGCCTCTATTTGTCTATAGCACTTGCTATGACTTATTCACTTGCAGTAGAGCCCTTCAAATGGATTACACAATTCATTTTATGTAGTTGAAATAAGTACAATATAAGTGGGCTCAGAAGAATCCAATTGGAAGTAAGTCAATTAAGCACATTGACTTATTCATGTTTTTGACCCTAAGTATGGGAGTTGTTTGAATGTATTTTTCATTATTTGAAACCTTTCTTTCCCAGCATGTAGTTATTATGGTGGGAGAATTGAATGACATTGAAAATCCTGGAAATGAGGAGAAGCAAACTAAAACAGCAAGCACCAAGCACATGAAGGGAGAGACGAGTTCTTTAGGTAAGTCTCTGGTTAGGCATCATTGTAGGCTCTCCTTGAGAAAAGGGAGCACATTACCTCTGGAGGGGCAATACTGCTGCATTCACAGTGCTCTGGAATTGCACAATTCCTCTGAGCACAGTGGCTTTAATTAAGTAAAATGGGAGGTTAAGAAAAAATAAGCAAAGATAATCAAACAACACTTGTCTTTTTTATGTAGCAATGTTCTAGAAAAAAAATCTCAACTGATTTTACCAATTTAAATGGCACAAGGCAATTATCTTTGTTTTCTCATCTCTCTTTTCCAGAGTTTGGGTGCATCCTAATTTTTCTTGATTATACTCACAAAAAATGTTGACTATTATATGTACACAGTTAATATTATAATTACCACGACTATCGTCTCCTGTTCATTTTCTCACGCTGTTCCTTATAAATCATGGATTGGGATGCATAGGGCTATTTGTGGGAGGAGGGATCAAGCTAGAACCACAAGTTAAGAGTCCTGCCTCACTGAGTGGGCCCCTTACTCTACATTAGGTGTTCATGGTCCTTTGCCTCACCCTCTAATTGAGAAGAGCATTAGTACAGCAGAAGCTCCATCCCAAATAAGTTTCCAAATGGTAATTTTTGCAACATTCTTGAAAGATGTGTGCATGAGGCTCACAGGTTATTTGTTGCAGTTGTAACACTAAAGCTTTATTCTAGTCTTTCCCGGAATTTCAGCTGTGCTCAGAAGCCATCATGAGCTGGAAAATGAAGCTTGGTTGTCACAGGTCAATCTTCTTTTTTGATTAAAAGAAGAATAATAAGTGAAAATACCCCAACTCCCACTTGTCCTGTTTAAATGGCAAATTTCTCTAACCACAAAAACACATTTGGGCAATAATAGAGAAGATAAATATGGAGCAGCTCTTAGATGCTCTTAGAATTAGTAGTTTTGGGGGGAAAGATAATGACACTGTAGTTATGAAAGAAAATCTCCTTATTTTTAGGAGTTGTGTGCTGACAGAGTGAAGTTTCATGATGTCTACAATTTATTTTCCAAGTACACTGAAATTATAAATACAGAGATAAAGCAAATATGGTAAATATTAAAAATATTAAATTTAGATACTGGGTGTATAGGCAGTCACTGAACTAATAATTAAAAAAATATTTCTGGATACTAATAAAACTCAGCTGTCAAGGGCTTAAACTTTAAAAACATTCACTCTTTTTTAAAAATATTTTTTAGTTGTAGTTGACACAATACCTTTATTTTATTTATATGTGGTGCTGAGGATCAAACCCAGGGCCTCGCATGTGCCAGATGAGTGCTCTACCGCTGAGCCACAACCCCAGCCCAAGAACATTCACTCTTTAGTAAACAAGAATTTCAGTAGCTATCCAGTTTAGAGCCATTCAGAGATGCCTTCAGAACCCGGCTTGTTCTGCCCATCTGCTTTGGCATCCTTGGTGGCTGGCTGTAGACACTGTCTGTTCATGATTGCAAGGTAACTGCTGTGCTCTAGGTATCATAGTCATGTTCAAAGGCAGGCTGTAGGTGGGAAGAGTAAGGCAGGCTCTCTTCTTATCAGAAAGCACATCTTTCCCAGAAGCCCCCGAAAGTATTCCATGGAACCTCATGAGTAGAAGAACAGTCCTGTGGCCAATCCTAGCTATGGGGGAGGCTGAAAATAGAACCACGTTCAAAGATTGACATCCACTGTGATTCATCCCCTGGGATATGGGTGCATCGTCACCCTGCACAAAATCATTATGATGTCAAGGGGGAAAAGGGAGAAATGTCAGTGACTGGTCATTTGCCAAACAGTTGCTCTTTCCTCTAGAAAGGAAATTGTTCTGTTTCATTAGGTACAGAGGTGATGTTAAACGAAACTTAAAACTCAAACTCATTCTGCTCTGTATCATGTTGAAGTTTAACTGAAGATAAATGGTGTCCAAAAGGACACTTTAGGTTTCTCTTTTTGTGTACACACAATCTCTTTAGCTTAAGGAAAGGTGAACTTTGTACCATTCATGAAAACTATCTTTTGCTTCACTCTCAATTTTAGTAACACATTTCAATATACAGTTTACTTGCAAAGATTGTTCTGTACAGCAGAATGGAATAGATGCTCCTGCCTGTCATATTATTAGCCATGGTGTGTTGAGTGTCCTCTAAATGCAAGTTCTAATATGTGGGTTTCGTGTCCCCTCATTTATGCAAGAAGGAAATGCTTAGCTGTTAGAAAAAGACTTAAATTAAACCTGAGTCATCAGACTTAATAAAGAAAGAGAAAACTGGAAGCCTTCAACAACATTTTAATTTCTACTTCCTTTGCAGCCTGTGTGAGACCACTACAATAGAATACTCTTGACATCCAGGTTTTTAAAGTGGAAACCCATCTATTGATCATAATGAATAATAGGTACAATGAAACTTTTCTAGAGTCTTCCTGTTCCTTTTACTGTCCATTGGTTCAAAAGTAGGCTTTCTTTTACAAAAGGTGAGATACCCTGAAGGTACATGGATTGGAATAAATCCTCCGACTAGTAATAGCCACCTAAACATCACTGGGGGTCATAGTTGTGTATCCTGGGAAGACACAGCAGAAGATGGACTACACTCAGAGGTCTTGGTGCATAAGTCCTTCGTCCCTATTAGTGCACCTGTCTGATGATTTGGCATATGGGGTTGATGATTGAGGTCTAACTTATTATACTATGATTGACAGCTGAGAGCACCTGTGAGGTGCTATGCTTTCTCTGGAGGCTTAGTACAGAGAAGCATAAGCTGACCCCACTCTACGGCCGTGACGGCCGTGACGTTCTTCTTGGCCATTTATTGTCTCAGGAAAATCTAATTGAAAATAAACTCAGCAGAGTTAAGTGTGGTTGCGATGAGCCAATATGAAGAGACTAGAAATTAGAGGTCAAGGTGAAGGTGGTGAGTATGCCATTGGGGAACTAGAACAAAGTGTACGAATGGATGGACAGGCCAGTGAAAAGGGCAGGGACATCAGGCAAGAAGATGAGATTTGGAGCAAGTCAGCAAAATAGCAGAGAGCAGATCCAGACCACGGCCAGAGGAGAACTTTAGGTTCTTTTATGCACCTCTGTTTGTTCACTTAACTAATATTTTTCAAGTGTCTACCATGAGCTGGGAATTTTCCTCAGTGCTAGGAAGATGGTAGTGAACAAGACAAAAATTTTCTCCCTCAATGGAGCTTAACTTTTAGCAGGAAGAGCAAATTTAAACAGGAAAAATAAATAAATTATAACTAAATTATATAGTATGTCAGAGACAAAAAATAAGGGGAAAATCAGCAAAAGAAGTGAGTGTACAGTTGCTGCACTTATAAATCATAGCCATGAGCCTGGTGTGGCTATTTAAATTAGTTAAAATTCAAAATTCACTTCCTAAGTCCCACCAGCCACATTTCCTGTTCTAGGTAGATAGTGGCTATCCTGTTGACAGTGAGGTTATTTTCCCATTATGGAAAAAAGTTCCATTGGTTATCACAAGTTGGTCTAGACAGTACACAAATTTTATTTCTATATATTTACTTTTTAAATGTTTAGATGTGGTCTTACTACTTTTCCCAGGCTAGTCTCAAACTCCTGAACTCCAGCCATCCTCCTGTTTCAGCCTCCAAATAGCTGAGACTACAAGCATGCACCACTGTGCCCAGCTCCAGTACGCTATGTTTACATTGAGTAGAAAGAGAAGGTGCCAATGAAGAGAGAACTTTTGATGGTTGATGGGGTGAGTCCATGCGCATGCCTGGAGGAGGAGTATTCCAGACAGAGGGAACAGCCAGTGCAAAGATTCAAAGATGAGAATGAGGCTCATGCGGCTGGAACATAATTCATGGGGATAGAGTAGTAAAAGATGAGGTAAGAGAAATAAATGGAGGGGAAAGAATCCTGTAGGAGCCACTGTAAGGACTTTGGATTTTGTTGAGTAGACGTGGCCACTGTTTGAGGTTTTAAGCAGAGGAGTTAATAACCTGATTGAGGTTTTCTATAGGACCACTCTTGCTGCTATGACCAAAATAGACTGAAAGTGGGGCACGGTAGAAGTTGGAGATTAGTTAAGGGACTATTGAAATAATTCAGGTGTAAGATGGTGAAATGGAGGTGGGGAAAGTAATTGGATTCAGGAATTGTGTATATATTTTAAGATTCAGGCAACATGATGAGTGTAAAAGAGAGAATACAAAGTTTTCGGGTCTGAGCAGCAGGAAGGATGAGGAGGAGGCCCCCTGTAGCTGGAAATCCATGGGGGAGACAGTGGCTTTGAGGATCTCCCTCTTTCCTGTTTCTTCTAGGTAAAGAGGCGTTTCCCTGTAGACTTGCTTCCTGCCCTTTATTTCTTCTTATCTTTTTCTCCACCTTTTTTACCTTTTTTACCCAACCTCCAGATTTTATTGTTAGATGTTTTACTTTTTCTTTTATTCAATCTTCATATCATAGGTCTCCTGACCTAGAGAGCAATGTCCATCTCAATTCTCATCAGTAGCTCATCTCCCTTTTGACCCTCTGACTTTGCCCAGGGGTCACTTCTACTGAAAGCCTTCATCCTGCATTTTCAGTTTGGGACAGCTGACACTTGTGTGTTTTTTCCATCACACTCTGGGCTTCTTCCTTTAATGCTTCCTTTAAGCCTTTAGTAATGGCTTGCTTGCTTCTCTATCTCTAGACTTGAGAAAAGGGACCTAGCTGAATATTTCCCCAGTGGTCACTTGGTGCCAATGAGTGACGAAGGCTTCAAGTCAAAGAAAAACAAACCGAAAACTGAGAATTCTCTAGCTTGTTGGGCAAACCATATGCTTTTCTGTTTCTGGCATTTCTACTTAGCAGTTAACTACTTTCTGAAAGCATATTCACGCTAAACAGCATTTTACTTTGTCTGCATTAGTGGCAAAATTTGCTTTAAATAAATCTTTAGATGTATTTTACTATTTACTAACATCTATGATTTGTGTATGTGTGTTTTAGGAGCAATTTTGATCTACCTCATGGGCCCAAGATTTTTGATTTATGTAAGCTGTGCCTTATCGATATGGGTAAGATGAATCAAAATGAAATTAACATTTTTGAATGGTTAAGAGAACTGAAATGTTAAGGACATTAGAATGTCTCAAAATATTGAATGCAAAGCATGTGCATATTTTTGTTTAAAGATATTTTGAATTATCAAATATAGGACAAATAGAGGAAAAAGATAATGTTTATAAAAGATGATAATGAATAATTACAAAATGAATATCATTTAAGCCATCTCAATGGAGACCTATGATGTCGCCAGCACCTAGGACGTCCCTCATGGGTCTTTCCCAGTCACACCCACTTTCTTACCAATGGGAAGTGGCTGTGAGCCTCACATTATGGCATTTATTTCCTTGTTTTTCTTTAGTTTTACCACTAATGTAGTCATCCCCAAATGATATTTAGCTTACTCTTTGAACTTTACATAAAATAAATCCTACCATATATATTCTATCCTGTCTTACTTTTTTTTTGCTCAAGATTATGTTTTTTTAATATCTCTGTTTTTGTAAAAGTCCTGGCTTGGTGCTTTCCACTGCTGTATTATATTCATTACACAATATACCACAACTTACATTATTAGTCCTTCCAAAGACTCAGCTTTGGGCTTTACAAGCCTTTTTTTGTGTGTCTTCATTTTTCCAGTTAATTAATTTCTGATTTTAACTTTTATTATTGCCTTTTTCCTACTTTCTTTGGGTTTCATTTGCTGTTCCTTTTTAATCTCCTCCTCCTCTTCCTCCTCCTCCTCCTCCTTCTTCTCCTGGGGATTGAATTCAGGGGCATTAAACCACTGAATCACATCACCAGCACTATTTAGGATTTTATTTAGAGACAAGTTCTCATTGAGTTGTTTAGTACCTTGCTTTTGCTGAGGCTGATTTTGTAACTACAATCTTCCTGCCTCAGCCTTCTGAGACGCTGGAATTACAGGCGAGTGCTACAGCACCCAGCCCTTTTTAAATTTCATAATAAAGATACTTAGCTCATTAGATTTACCCTTTCATTTCTAATATATGAATTTAAGATTAAAAATTTCTCTAGCAGTGCATAAGCTGCATGTGGCAAGTTTTGATATACTTAATTAAATATATTTTATAATGTCCTTTGTGATTGCTGGCTTATGACCTATGGATAATTTAAAGATATATTCTTTAACTTACAAATAAATAAGGAGTTTTTTATTTTTATTTTGTTGATTTGGGGGCTTAATTGTCTTGAGTTCAGAGAACATCCTCTTTCAATACACTGAAATTAGGATTTTTCTCTATAATTCCTTATATGGCTCATTTCTACAAATATTTCATGTGCTTAAAACAATACGCATTCTGAAGTTTGATGGGTACAGTGTTTTGCTGTGACCTTTAGGTTGAATGAACACACACAAACACACATGCATTTAACATATTTATATATGTATATTTTAGCTTTTTCAACAATTATGAAGAGAAAGGTGGTGACCTAAAAATCTCCCACAGGGATTATCTACTTCTCACTTTAATTCTACAGTTTTTTCTGTCATATATTTGAGCCCTTGTTATTAACTGCATATAAAATCAGAATTTTCATATCTTTCTGGAAAATTGAACTTTTATCATTATAAAGTGACCCTCTTTATTTCGAGTAATGCTTTCTGCTTTGGAGTATTTTCCTTGATATTAACTTAGTAATGTGCATTGATTTTGATTGGAATTTGCATGATATCATTATCCATCTTCTTATGTCTGCTCTTTTTTATTCTTTTGCTTTAATATTTTTGTTTAAACAGTATATAATTATATTTTAAAATCCAATTTGTCAATCTTTATGCTTTAACTAAAATAGTTCATTTGTAATTAATGATATGTTTAAGCTAAGTTTGCCATGTTACTTTGTGTTTTCTATTGGTTTGGCCTATTATATTTCTTTTTCTCCTTTTTCACCTTCTTGTCATCCTTCCTCTTATTTTGTCTTTCTCTGTTTTATTGTTAGTTGTTTCTTCAGACATATCTAAAATTAACTGATTTTTTTTATGTTTAATCTACTATGGAACCAAGCAATTGAATTTTTAATTTTAGTTTCTATTTTTGTATTTTGAAGTCCTAGAATTTTTATTTAGCCTTTTTCCAAACTTGCCATGTCACTCTTTTTTTTTAGTTGTCGATGAACCTTTAGTATTTATTTATTTATATGCAGTGCTGAGAATTGAATCCCATGCCTCACGCATGCCACTGAACTACAACCCCAGCCCAAACTTGAATTTTTTTAGATTTAGTAAGCATAATTGTTTTACAGTTTATGTCTAATAAATTAAATACACGAACTCTTAGTAGGTCTGTAGTGCTGACTGCTCTTTATTATAGATTTTGCTCTATTGCCATATGCTGGTTGCCCTTGACCATGGCCTGGGCATTATACTTGTAGATTTACTGCTAGGATGATGGCATCTGACTTTAGGGAGGATTTAACTGCCTTCCCTAGGGTACCTAGTGGGCATTGGCCATTTGTCTCTGACTTAAGCCAGCAATTGCTGATGGAAATGATAGTGCTGGTTAGCATAGGGATTTAACCCAAGTTCAAGGCTTGAGGTTTTCTGGATTATGCAGATGAGGTACAGCTGAACAATGAGCCCAGGCAAGTGGGATTTACTTCCAGTTTGCCCTCTTTACCCTAAGGGTATAGCTGACTATGTGGGCTCTTAGCTTAAAGTGGTACCCATCTTTGGTAGACTTCTGTCACCTAGCTTTCTGAGTCCAGCAGAGCTGCAGTTCTATGTCACAGTTGTTGCTTCTGATCAGCAGATGTGCTCTTAGAGTTCTCATCTTCTCCCAAGTGTATGCTTGATTTTTCTCTAGATTATTGGCTCTTTTTTAAAAAAAAAAATGTTTTAGTTGTCAATGGATTTTTTTTAACTTTATTTATTTATTTATTGTGGTACTGAGAATCGAACCCAGGGCCCCACACATGCCAGGCAAGCGCTTTACCACTGAGCCTCAACCCCAGTCCTAGATTATTGGTTCTTTAATGCTTTAAAAATTTGTGAAAATATTCTGTCTGGCTTTTTAAAGTTGTAAGTATATTGAATAAAGTTATAGTTCTACATAAAAGTGTAATTTGATTATTCTGTTTTCAAAGTTTGCACATAGCATATCCTTTGGGAGAAATGTGCCTTTCTGGATTTTAACTATTCTGTCTATCAGTCAATGACTACAATATGCTTTGCCTTACTGCCTTGCAGGGAGATCGAATGTGGCACTTTGCCATGTCTGTGTTCCTGATAGAATTATATGGACATAATCTTCTTCTAACAGCAGTGTTTGGCTTAGTGGTGGCTGGATCTGTACTAATATTTGGGGTCTTAATTGGTGACTGGATTGACAGGAAGCCAAGAAATAAAGGTAATGCTTTTATTTATTTCACGTATGATTATGTTGTTCATCATGAATTTACTAGATTTTTTTGGTTTATTTAGTGAATCAAAATTATAGATCTGAGCTGACTAAGAGTGGAACATAACTTGAAAACTCTAAAAGAAAGCCTTATATAACTTTGTGTCATATTCTTTGGTGTTACATTTAAAATACTTTAATGTGGTTTTTATTTATTTACTTTTTGTGGGGCTAGCAATTAAACCCAGAGCCTATACCCACTCAGCAAATGCTCTCCCATTAAGCCATATTCCCAGCTTTTTAATGTTTTTTAGAATCTTAATAATTACACCCTTTTAATATTAAATTATTGAAAAACATGCTTGTTTTCTTTCTTTTTAATTTTTAATTTTTTTATTAGTTGCTCAAAACATTACAATCACTCTTTTTTTTTTCTTGTGGTGTTGGGGATTGAACTCAGGGCCTTGTTCATACAAGGCAAGGACTCTACCAACTGAGCTATATCCCCAGATATAGCTTTTTAATGTTCTGGTATTACCTATGCATAATAAAACTTGTGCTATTTTTGGTAAAGACAATTTCTATGTGTAAAAGATATCTTTTATATGAGGTAATCCATCTAAGCGAGGAATCAACATGGATACTTATTTCTTCAAACATAGATGTTCTTTTTAACTTTTAACTTTTTGCCTATAATACCTTCTTAGGCCTCTTTGCCCAATAAAAATGTTGGGTCTCCCAAGTTATCCTGTTCTTTTGATGACTAGTCAACATGATTATTTTCATTATCTCTAAGAGAGTTGGAAATGAGTTTGCAGAAACTACACTAATGTGTTTAAGCCTGATTTACTTAAAATCTGTAGTGTTGCTCTTTAGACCCACTGGATAGCTACAACCATAAGTGAAATCCGAGAAAGTCAAATGAAGCAATAGAAAAAATCAAGCTTCTTAATTTATCTGGAATCTGGCTTTTCATATCACCTTTCTCTCAAAGTATGTTTCATTCACTTGTAGAAGCTCGGCTTTTTGTCTTTTGGTCACAAAGGCTTTGCTTGTCCTGAGCATGGAGCCTGCTCTTTGCTTCCTACCCAAGCCTGCAATTGCTGATGGAAATTACAAGCCTGGTTGGCCCAGGGATTTGGTCAGATGTAATTGCTCTGCATTACATGGTGACATAGCTGTGACTTGCCTCCTAATGCCAAAAGTAAATCTTGGGCCCCCGGGCATTTCCCTTCACAGTTGCTCACGCCTCGCTCTTCATTCAGAATGCCTCTGTCACCGCCTGCTGTGTGCTCCTCATGCTCCTGTTCTCCTACCGAAGGGAGATGGAACAAATCTGGCACGGCTGGTTCACTGTGAGTGTCTCTCCACTCCCTCCTAAGCCATGAGAGCGAATGTCACAGTCATAGATAGACAAGGATGTCCATTAGAGAGTCGTCTCTGCACGTCGCTGCTCACTGGTTTGCGATCTGGACCATCTTTCCACCAGTGCTCTCCTTGCCCCTAATTTGTGAATCAAGCCCAAATCTCACAGACAGGAAACAATATAACAGCAGAGTCTGTCTGCAAGGTACAAATTAGCATCTGCTCTGTAATGGGCTGAGAAAATGCTTAGCGTTAGCACACATTTGGCTTCAAACTTGCATTGAGCCTCTTTCTCCCACAAGTCTCTTTGCTCGTTTAGATGATCCTCAAGCTGTCAGATAAATAACTTGTGTGTATGCCTGTGGGTTGGAAAAGTATTCTTGAGCTCTGAAGTCCCCTTCCTCCCACAGGTGGCCTGCTACACAGTGCTGATCACCCTGGCAGCTGTGGCGAACCTGGCTGGCACAGCGCTGACCATCACCATTCAGAGGGACTGGATCGTGAGCCTCACAGGTGGCAACGGAAGCCAGCTGGCTGGTGAGCAATCCCATCCTAGGCCTTACCAGTCTTCCGATCTTCTGAAAAATGGAATTAGAGAGCCATTTGGGGTTCTGAGAGAGGCAGAATGATAGCCTGTTAAGTGAATGGTATTTGGAGCCCACAGAGGTGGGTTCAAATTCAGCTAAAACCAGGTATGCCTCTTCCCAGCTGCCTCTCCTGGAGCAAGTTACTGCCCTTCTCTAGTTTTGACTTTTCTCATCTGTAGGATGTGGGACACACACACACACACACACACACACACACACACACACACACAGGATTCTGGGGGACACAGGGTTTGAAAAGCACTTAACCCTGTATCCGCATGTAGGAAGCCCCTAAGAAATGGTTGATATCGTTATTGTTGAAAGAAATAGACTGTGCCTTCAGGAAAGAAGTCTTCCATTTGCAAGTTCATCACCAAGTTCCTTGACAATTTTAGACCTGGTAAATAAATGAATGAAAAGATTTCTTAATTCCATCTAGTGATAAGCAGATAACAAGACAAACAGTATCTGCCAGTGTGACTGTTGGTCAGCATTGATATTCCAGTGAAGTAATTCAATAGGATAATTGGATGTCTTCTTTGTTTTTTCCCCCCATTTACAAAAATTGGGTCCTTCACATTGCGATATATTCTAATTGCCGACTTCAAGCTGAAGACCTCAGCCTACCCTGTATTTGTGCAGTTGAAACTCCCTGCTAGGAAATGTGTACGAGTGCTGATGGCCAAGATAAAGAAAGCTATTAAGGAGGAGTCGATTCAAATGTATGCCTCACGCAGAGTTAGAAGCCCCTTATAATCATGTTTTCTTTTAAACTGCACTTCTTTGGATGTACTGTGGCTTAAATAACAACACCCAAAATAAAACAGCCAGGCGAGTAGAACTGGGTGACATCGTGTTGAGGTGTCCTCCAAAATCTCCCCGTTCTCTGTTAATTAATTTTAAGGAAACCTAAGAAAAGCATGGATTCTGGTTCAAGTTCATTACAGTTATTACAATGAACTCTTCAGTGATAGCAGAAGAGGGAAGAGAATAAGCTTTGCAGTCGGACTGCCTGGGTTTGAGTCTCAGCTCCATCATTTTCCTCTTCCGTGTCGAGCAAATATATTCACCTCTGTGTGTCTCAGTTTCCTAATTTGCAAAAGAGAAATACTGTTACCTCCTAGAGTTGTGATGAGGGTGAAATGAGATGAATACAGGTAGAAGGCGTGGAACTATTTTTGTGGCACATAGTAAATATTCAACTCATTCCTCCTTCTGTCCTCCTTCGGTTACCACTCACTCTTCCCTGTCACCATGTTAGCTGTGACAGTGGCTATTAATATTATTGTTGTTAAGATAGTGGGGTATGATGGGAAAGTATGCTGAGATGGGGGGTAGAATAACTAGCTCCAAGTAACCTAGTCTCTCTAGTCCTGATTTTATTAATTGTTAACCGCTCAAGTTCCAATAGAACTGATCTTAACATTTTTTTTTTTTCAGGTTGAGAATCGTATTACTATAGTTCAGCCAAAGGGATCTTTTCCTTCTGTTAATATCATCCACCCAGGGTGTGGCTGGCAACTCCAGCAAGTGCCTGTGGTCAACTGACTGGAAAGAAGGGGTCATCCACTGACCTGCCATATTTCCTTCCTCTCACAGGGATGAATGCAGCAGTCCGGCGGCTGGACCAGATCATCAATATATTTGCTCCCCTGTCTGTGGGCCAGGTGATGACATGGGCATCTCATGTGATCGGTTGTGGTTTCATTCTTGGATGGAACTTGGTTTCACTTCTTGTAGAGTTTCTATTTCTGTCTAGGGTTTATCATCTAGTTCCCCAATTGGCTGTAAAACCCCAGCAACAAACAGGGAAGCCCTTCCTAGAAAAGCGACAGGAGGCTGTGAATGTTCAAGGTAATGCAAACTCAGAGAGAGCTCTTGTTCTTTTTTTCCCCCTCTCTTAGTGTTTCATTTCTTCTTTTCAGAACTTAATGTCTGATCCTAATCTTGACATTTTCTTGGCAAATGTGATAAATGAGCAGTCTCCAGCTGTGCCATTGGTTGTATAGTTCACTTGGCTGATCTTATTGGTTGGGACAGGCAGGGCTGCTTTTATACAGTTATACAAGTTGTGTACTGCATAACACCAGGCCTCCATTCAGAGAGACTCCATTGTAAGTAGCACCCCCATGGGACTGTACAGTGTAAAAACTGTACAACCTATCCCAAGGTCCCAGAGGGCAAATTACTCCTTCTCATCTCACTCATGCACATCTTCCCCAGGGATGTTAAATTGAGAAAGGCAAATGTGTCAAAAACTATGGGTTAATCTTTGGTAAAGATAAGATGATAAACTGTCAATCCTGCTCCCAAAGTTTTTTTATTATTATTATTAGAAATTCCCCAACAGTATGATGAGAATGAAAGGAAGGAAAACCTACCAGTAGATATGACCTCATTCTCCCAAAGTGAGAGCCATCCCTGCCTGTTGACAAGGTTGTCCATCTGCCTGGTACAAAGCAATTTAGTAATGGCTTCTGACCGCAGTTCTTCTTTGTTAATTATCATTAATTAATTATCATTAATTCTCTCAAGTTGTTTTGTACGTAAATCTCACCAATCCCATTACATGAGTAAAACATATATATTTGAGAGATAGATGGATATACATACTTAAATAATGAATGGATGGGTATGTGAGTAGCTAGACAGGTAGATACAAATCAATAGAACTACATCCTTTTCATCTCCCGTGTATTACCTGTGATTTCCCAAGTTTAATTTATTCATATTCTTTGCCTTGTTGTCTATAAAGCAAGGACAATAATAAACTTTATTTGATAGGATGTTGTACAATTAAATAGATGCAAAGCATCATTAAACTCACTGGCATATAGGAGAACTTCAGTCAATTTAGCTATGTTTTCATTGTTCTTGTTATTTGGTCATCTTTAAAAATAAAACTGCCTTGGTAATAAATTCCATTCTGTGAGGAAGAACCTCACTTTCCCTTGGGTCTTGATCTGGAATAGACTTGGCTCACCTGCCCCTTCTCCCCTCAGAGCCCTACTGGGCTCCTTCAGCCCTTTGCAGGACTGGTCAGTCTCTCACCAATAGTTTAATCTGCTTATATCATTGTCTGATATATCCTGGAAGACCGAAAGGTATTTTATATATATTTTTTCCCATCATAAGTACTTGTTTCTTCAGAAAAGTAACTAAAGGAGGTACCTATCACTTTTTCTGGAGCTCATTACCAAGTTTCAAGCAAGTGAAATTTGCTCTCCCACCCTCCCCTATACCGCCGTCCCCATCAATGCCTGCCTTCCTAATTGGATAGTGTGTCTTGTGGGATTCTTTCAAGTGCCTCTTGAGACAGATTTGGGGTAGAGAGTCATCTCTTTGGAATGTGACCTCCGGAAGCATGCTGAGGGGTGGGAAGTAAGACAGGAAGGGGAAAGGAGGCTCCCGGAGATTACTACTGAGAGATTTGGGTTCAGTCCAACTGAGGACCTGAGAGGTACAAGGGATGTTCCTTCAAATTGTCCCAGCAAGGGCAAGGAAGCTGGGGTATCCCTCACAGGCACTCACAGCCTGTCCCTCCTGTTCCAGTGGCTGGAGAGAGGTCTTCAGGCAGAGACACAGGTGATTGGGGACAGGAAGCCACCAGTGTGCACAGGAAGTATCCAATAAAAAGCAGAAGTTGGGATGGGCTGAGGGGACATGGGTATTGACTTTAAGCTTATCTGGATTTCATTTTAGGTGAAATGGACTCTTGGGAAACCACTGATGGATTTATCAACAAGCCTGGAACTTCAAAAGAACCAAAAGATTGCAAGTCTCACCTTGAAGAAGAACAGGTCACAACTAAAAGATTTCTTCTTTGCCTTCGAAACACTCAGAGGCTGCTGCACACGTGCAGGGAGGGCTGGGAAACCTACTGCCGGCAGACCATCTTCCTGCCTGGCCTGGGCCTGGCCTTCCTCTACATGACCGTGCTGGGGTTTGACTGCATCACCACAGGCTATGCCTACACCCAAGGCATCGGAGGGTCCCTGCTCAGCATCCTCACGGCCCTTTCGGCTTTATCTGGCCTGATGGGTACAATTCTCTTCACCTGGCTCCGGGGGCATTATGGCTTGGTCACCACGGGAGTCATATCCAGCTGGCTCCACGTAGGTTGTCTAACGCTCTGCGTGTTTTCTGTCTTCGCTCCTGGAAGTCCCTTTGACACGGCTGTTTCCTCACTTCCATTGAGCAAGAACTCTTCTTCAAGTCCCGAGTTACTAAAAGATGACCAAGAGCACATTTACCCTTTTGAAAGAAACCTGAACCAACCCATCCTCCCGGACCGTTCTTCCATTCATTGGACCAACAGCACTGTTCTGTTCGACGGGCGGCAGGACCCTGAGCAGCCAGAGTCTTACGTCTCCATTATCTTGCTCTTCTCTGGCGTGATCCTGGCCAGAATTGGTGAGTAGTGGGTCATGCATGGTGTGGGTTTCTGCAGGCTGGGATGTTGCCAGATAATCTTAGAAGTGTGCGAATGTCCCATCTCTATGCTGCTGTAAGTCTTCATCATCCATTCATTAAGAATGAGTTCTAGTGATAAGAACTGGACCAGAATACGGGAGCAGAGGGGGGAAAAAAAACAAACACAAGAATGATTTAATCAGACAGTGCTTTAGTCATGGTGCTTACAGCCTGGGTGAGGGAACAGTAAGCAGCCAACGATAGGCAATGAGATAGAGGTAGGGAAGGACAGACAGATTGAGAGCAATAGGAGGAACACCAAAACTGGTCTTGAGAGCTGAGGAAGCCATCCTACAGGGAGGCACAACTGAAGATCTCAGATGAGCAGGCAAGACATGTCCAGAGAGGGATGCCTGCTCCAGGCTGGGGCACGGTGGTGCTGAGACAAGGCTGAAAGTTGAAAACTTGGAGATGGAGATTTGGAAAAGCGAAAATATTATAATTATTTCCTGGGTGTCAAACATGTAAATGCCATAGATGGTGTCTGCATGATTGTAGTGTTTGGACCTGGATCCTTTCTTTGCGGAGGGGATGAGGAAAGAGGAAGGATGGCAATTTTTTGGGACAAAGGCATTCCTTAGCTGTCTGGGGAGGGCAGTATAATCCTTTCCCAAAGATGGGGTGCCTGAGTTTGAGTGCCTACAGGTTTGTCTGCCACAAGTACTCCATCTCTGAGCTCTGTCACTACCATATCTCTACCATATGTGATTTCTACCATATGCCATTCTTATCTAGTAGTGAAAACATGGCTAAAGTGTTTATTAAAACATTTTTTAAAAAATTGTCATTTGATGCCTGACAACCCCCAAAATGAGCTGCTGGGGATCAGTTGTGATGGCAGCAGAAACTTCTTAACAGCACACTGGCTCTTGTGATCAGTCAGACCTGCAGATTCTCATCTGGGAAGAATCTGGGACCTTGTTCTTCATCTCGAAATTCCCATGATTGGTTTTCTACCTGGAAAGCATCACTTCTTGCTCAAGCTCATTTTGCTCCAAATTCAAATGTATGCCTTTGAGGCCCCACCCTGGCTGCACAGCTCAGAGCCAGGGGAAAGTGTGGTGGCAAGTGACGGATGATATGGATCAAAAACCAAGCATGTCTTTCCCATTCATCCAACCACCCTTCCCACGCTACATTCACCACTGCAGCCACTGTGCCAAAGCAAGGTCTCTGCCCTCTTGGGCCTCAGAGCATCATCTGCTCACCTCTGAGGGGTAGGATCATGTAATTGGGAGAATGTACCAGGGATACCTAGAATCTCTTGAGTTTTTGTTTTGGGGGATTGAACCCGGGGGTGGCTGACCACTGAGCAACATACCCAGCCCTTTTAATTTTTCTTTTGAGACAGGATCTCACTAAGTTGTTTAGGGCCTTACTAAATTGTTGAAGCTGACCTTGAACTTGGCAATCCTCCTGCCTCAGTCCCCCGAATTTCTGAGATACTTGCGTGTACTATCATATTCAGCACTTATTGCTTTATAAAAGTGTGGACAAGAGGAAATGAGGATTCCGAAGGCCCAATTCAAGAGACTATAAGATCATAGGCTGGCCTCAGAATCTCGTTTCTGATGTAATGTATTTACAGGAGAAAGACATGTTCCTAGTTCCAAATAACTGATTTAGAAGCCCATTCTTTCATGTAGAGATTGCCTGAGCTCTAAAATATTTTAAATGAAGTACCTGATGAGTGGATTGTCTTTCATTAGTGTGTTTGATTTGCACATCTACCCTTTCATTGCACAAACAACGGAGAGTAGATTGGCCCCTTAAGCTTTGTGTCATTCATATTATATTATGATTGTTTACTTCAAAAGGATCCTGTCTACCAGGATCACTGGGCTTTCCTGATACAAAGGAAATGATCACATTTGGAAAACATGAAACTGCTTCAGAGGAGCCTGCCATCTGGACACACGTCCTGTATGAGAGAACCTTGGCCTTTTTTTCCTATGCCAATAGCAAGTCCATTTGCTGTACCCCAGATGAGGATTGCAGAGACACAGAACCCTCTTGGCACTCATGAGCATTACAGCTCAGGACCTGGAGCCAGGCTGCCTGATGATGTTGGCAAGACACCTAAGTTCCCAATGTCACTGTTTCCTGATCTCAAGATGGGATGATAATAATAATATTTCCCCATGAAAAGGTTCTGAGCAAGTGCTGAAGAATTCCTGTAGGCAATGTGGTTAGCACAAAGCTTTCACAACTGTGGGAGCTACCTGCTGGAAATGAACATTAATTGTCATCTTGGATCGTCATCATCATCGTATTTTAGCTATAATTTTAGTGCCTTTCTGAATGTTGCTGTGTGAGGCTGAGGTGTGGGTGGGCAGCGAGACACGGGCAATTGCAGTGCTAGGTGATGTGGATGCTTCTCAACTCCTGCACATGCAATGCCAGCAAGGACCCTTTACATTCATTCCTATTGGGGTCACACTTAACCTTGGGGTTGATGGTGTGGTATCAAAACTTCAGACATTAAGAGCACCAGTGCCCCAAAGGATATATTGTGCCTTTGTTAATGCAGTTGGGCCTGGGGCTATGATGACTGGTCCTCTCACTGGCAGCAGTGGCCGGTGGCCTGACACAATAAGTATCCAACATGTATCACCAAGCTTAGGGCTCATCTTAGGTGTGTGTTCAGTAGATACTTGTTTCTACTCTGATGGAAACTAACTTGCAGAACTATGCCTACAATAAGATTTGGCACATTGCTTAAAAGTCGCTTTGCTTTTTAAAATCTAAGAACTGTAACTCTTTATGCCCTCAATTTAGAAATAATTCTCAGTGCATAATTAGCCCTCGCTTCCTTGAACACTTCTCATAGTACCACGGCAGCATTTTACAGATACTCTCTAACTTTGTAAGTGCTGCTGGCAAAGGGCCAGCAGGTGTGGATATATTACAGGTAAGCTCTGGGTCAGAGTCCCCTGCAGGATGGGGTTCTTGGCAGGAAAACCTGGAGAGAAATTGAGGCATTTGGGGTGGTAAGAATACCCCAAGAGGATGGGGGACTGGTCAGGGCCTGTGGGTGGTGGCCACAGCAGGGTGGCTAAGGCAGCCCAGGAAGACAGAGGTCCAGACAGTGTTCTGCAAAGGCAGGCACCGGAGGACATAGTACATTACCTCCAAATAATTATTGAGTTCAGAGCTAAGTCCAGGTATTGGGTCAGTGGCACCAGGAGGCCTCTGCAGAGCCAATGCTGAATCCTGTGAGTACCCAGAAGGCTAGTTGGCTGGAAAACCAACTGAACAGGTAGAATTTGGGTTCAGGGCCCACTGGGACAGGCACTAGAACCCCTAGGGGTGATGTTGCCACTGAAGGACAGCACTGTCCTCAGCACTGCTGGCTTCTGCCCTTGCTGATGGTTACACAGCAGATCCTGGAGCTGCTTCTGAAACAAATTCAAATGTGTCCTCTTTAGGTGTTTGAGAGTGGTGGGCAGGGTGAAGAGTGGAGTCCAATTCTTTCTCTGCTAAGCCAGGTGTGAAGAGGGAAAATCTGGAATTGGAAGTAGATTTGAAGCTCAAGATTTTGCTCTCTGCCTTAAATATGTTTTTGCAATATGGAGGGGATACAAATAAATACATCCAAAATGAAGTTATAGTGCATCAGATGACAATGGTAGTGATGGTGATTCAAAAAGATAATTATAACACCATAATTTATGACAGTAACTGCCAAGCACAGGTGGTCAGACACAGTATTACACATTTTATTGTACAAGTTCATGGAATTCTCCAATGAGCCATTAGTGCCTTTAATATTCCCATTTCACAGATAAGGAAACTGAACACCATTTCACAGATAAGGAAACTGAGCAGCAGGAAGTTGCATTTATCCAAGGCAACCATGCTCATCAATTCCAGAGCCAGAATCTCACAGGGGTCCTCTGACATCTGTTCATGTTTATTCTCTCCCTACATTGCTGACCTGCAGGGCTCTGGTCCTTTGACCTCACTGTGACCCAGCTTCTCCAGGAGAACATTCCGGAAGCAGAGCGAGGGGCCGTCAACGGTGTGCAGTGCTCCCTGAACTATCTTATGGACCTCATCCACTTCATCCTCGTCATGCTGGCCCCGCGGCCACAGCAGTTTGGCATGCTAGTCTTCATTTCCATGCTGTTTGTAACCACAGGCCATGTGCTGTATTTTTTTTATGCAAGAAAGTGTAAGATTGAAAATTCCCAGGTGAATGAGACAATGAAGAAGGGCACTTGGACACCTTTAAGCTGAGAGGTAGGCAGTACTTCCCAGAGCAACTCTGGCCCCATCTCCACTGAGTGTGTCCACTGACTTCCCTCATGGCTACCATGTCTGCCTGTGCCACTGCTACACTCCAGAGCAACAGTGTCATCACCTCTTGCCAACAGCACCATCTGCTTACGTGTGTCTTGGCCCTGGTGGTACCATCAGCGCAGGAAAGGGGGATGACTCCAAGTCAGAGATCCGCCCCCCCCGCCCCAGACAACTTGAAGAGGCTTGTTTTAATTTTGCCAGTATAGTAACTCAGTGTTTTATTGTTCTTTGGGATGTAAAATGAGTCAGAATCTTCTGGTCGGTGTTAAAATTAGAGAGGTGGAGAGTGGTCAGTAATGTCTGGTTTAATTCTTCAGTGTGAGTTTACTTTTTTTGTTCTTCTGCTAGTTGGTGACTGTTCTTTGATTGAGCTGAATACTCCTAGTGAGGACTGAAGCTTTTATTGGAGAAACAGATCATGAGAATAATCTGGGTGTGGCTTATGGACTCTGCAGCCAGACCACAGATACAGTGGTCCTTTGGCGAGTGTGGACAAGCTTTGCCTCATGAACACTCTAAGAACATGCTTGTTTGTGATGAGCAAATGGGGAGTTGCTGGTCACTTATGAACAATTAACACTAAAACTAGTTTTATATGTTGACTTAAGACTAATAATCAATTATTATTTTATAAGTGCTGTGATGTGTAAGTTTCACCTGGAAGTGAAAAATCAGTGGTGCTAGCAATAAAGTCCCCTTAAGACCCATGGTCTAGAGAAGCTTTCTATGTCATATTTTGGAAACAGCCAATAGCATACTCAGGAACACCTTAGCAGGTAGGTCTTGAAGAAATGACATTCTTTTCTTTTCTTTCTTTCTTTCTTATTTTTATGTGGTGCTGAGGATGAGACTCAGTGCCTCACTTATGATAGGCAAGTTCTCTACCACTGAGCTTCAACCCTAGCCCCAGAAATGACATTTTCTAAGACAGTGATTCCCAGTTTTGTACTATGGACACTCTGGGTCAACATTCTTTGTTGCAGGGGCAGTCCTTTGCATTGTAGCATACTTTGTAGCATCTCTGGTCTCTACCCACTAGATGCTGGTGGCATAGCCCCATCAACCTAGTTGTGACAATCAAGAGTCTTCAGACACTAACAAATGTCCCCTAATTAAGAACCATTATTTAAGAGAAATGTGAAAACTACAGGAGGAATTCACTTATTATTAAAAATAAAATGACAGAGGCTGGGAGAGCAGTGGTAGAGCACTCGCCTAGCATGTGTGAGGGCCTGGATTTCATCCTCAGCACTTCACAGAAAGAAACAAAATGACAAAAAGTCATTATTAGTAGCAATAAAACGACACTCTGGGATTTTACATGGATCTGCTTTTTTAGAGCAAACAGTCAAGTGAAAACAAGGGAAGGAGAGAATTCTGTGGAACATTTTGCCTAACATAGGGTAGTTTCAAAAAAGAGTACTTTATACAAATTCTAGTGATATTTGTGATGCCACCTCCTCCAATCTCTCCCCTTCCATTACTACTACTACTCTACTACTACTAC